GAATGCCCTCTCCAACACACCTGATAGGGATCAGAGGATGGCACAGAAATTTATATAATTTTAAAAAACACTATAAAATAATGCCGTATGCTTTAAATGTTCCCATTCCATTCAACTTTTAAGTTTTTATGAATGTCCCAGGATTTGAGGCCACGTTAAGAGTTAGACTTAATTTCCATACTTTCAATTTAGAAAACTGGGTGAAATAAGCACAAAGTGAAAGAACTAACAGAAAAATAGTTCACTATGAATAGGAAAGATACTGAGTTTTAAAAAATGTCTTAAATTTCTTATAATTTAGGTTATATATGAAATAGGAAATAATATTTATTTTGAGATAAGGTTTTCAGAGGAAAGTGTGAATAATTCAGTCACTCCTTCCAATTAAATCTGCTGATATTACAGAGCTGTGATATTACAAAATAATAAAGATTACTGAAAAATCTACTAGTAATTTGACAAGAATGTTTAATCTGAATAAAATGCTTATTAACAGTTTTCCAAAATTCAGATAAAATTCTTAAAACTCTCTAGTCTACTAGCACCTCCTAGTGGAAAGTTTAAAGGATACAATCCCAACCAATCGGAATTCAGAATAGTTATCACATTTAAAGCTGCTAAACCAATGGCAGTATGAATCCTTATGATACGTAAACATGCCTGGAAAATAGAAGCATAATTTCATCAATATGATTGATTAAAAAAACCCAGAGCAGTAAACATGTACATGGCATCTCATCTATTAGAAGCAAAACATTTCAGCAATAGTTCTGTTAGAAACTACCTTTCATGTTAAAATGTATCAAATACATGTCCAACGAATTTGCAAGAGCACTTTATTGTTCACTGGTATCCTGAACCAAGGGTAGAAACAGGGTTAAAAAGACAGAAACTAAATTAATCAGTTGATTTATAAAAACTATAATTTTATACTTTATAAGTTATGATCAAAATTAATTTTGAGGATTATCTGGAGATTTCAATTTACCTCTGTCATCTCTATTTCCCATTACCAGAGAGGTGCTATATATACATATATACCAAATTAAGAAAAATAAAGAATAAGAAAAACACTTAAAACTCTCTTTTGAAGAAAAACATTTAATGATACTAAGGATTATATAGGTGTTTTCTCTAAATAAATCTAATTAAATTTCAAAGGTTTATTTAATGATTCTTATTTATTAAAATGGCTCATTTTTTAATGAAAGAGACTTTGAATATTAGTGAAGAGCAAACTATAGTTCTGTTTTTTAATTTCGAATGTTCTTTTCATTTCAGTGACAATTTTTCATGCATTTGGCTTAGTCAGAAAACATGTGGATGCTTCCTTGCAAAGACATCTTGTGTAGGATTCCCAGTAAGATAATGAATATTATGTTCATCAATTTGGTCAGTTTAAAAAATGTAACTAACAGTCTTTAAAAAATCATTCAACATTTATGGTCGACAAAAAAATCTGTAAAATCATAGGCTAAATTAAAAATAAGAGCGACTACTTGAATCTAACAATTAGGGAGAAAACACTTTCATAAAAATTAACTACTCACCATAATCTGGATGAAAAATTTGGCGAATTAAAAGAAGGAACCATTCTTTAGTTAAGCCGCCCATATCCAAACCAGCTTCCCCTACAAACGTAACTTTCAACTTCTTTTTCAAGTCTGCTCTTTTCCGGGTTAACTATTTGAAGAAATTATAAAGTAGAGGAGAACAAAGGGCAGTAAAAAGGAAATTAATTTTTAAAATTTTGGAATATGTATTATCTTATTTACAATGTCACAAAACTCTATCCATCCATCTGCCTCCCAACACTGTATTAGTCAGGTGTGGTAATGTTTGTTGTAGAGATCAAGGAACAGAATTAGAGAGCTCAGGTAGCTTGCCCAAGGTTACTGTCTCCCAGCACCATACTGTCTCCAAGATTTTAATTTAGCAGAATACAGTACAAAGTAGTTCATTGCCTTTTAACTTGCCTTCAATGCTAAACTTTAAAAAAATCACATAACTAAATCAAATATTATCTTAGGGCTTCCCTGGTGGCGCAGTGGTTGAGAGTCTGCCTGCTGATGCAGGGGACATGGGTTCGTGCCCCAGTCCGGGAAGATCCCACATGCCGCGGAGCGGCTAGGCCCGTGAGCCACGGCCGCTGAGCCTGCATGTCCAGAGCCTGTGCTCCGCAACAGGAGAGGCCACAACAGTGAGAGGCCCGTGTACCTCACACACACACACACAAAAGCAAGCACACTACTGGCATACAGAAACAAAAGATAGCTTACTAAGATTTTAGTAATAAGCCATATTATCAAATTTATTTAAAGCTTTAATCAAGTAATACTATTCTGGAATAAATGATCAATACCTCATCAAGAGAATCGCTGACCAGATGTGTCCGCCTTACTTTCATATTTAGAAATAACATATTCATATCAGGTCTCTGTCTTCGAGATACTTTATCCACCAGACTTTGCTAATTAAAAAAGAAAACAAACATTTTCATTTATACTAAACTATAATCTCATTTAAAACATTTAAACACTTTAGTAAAAATCACTTATATTCTTCTCTTTGCCATCTCTCATAAACAATTTCATAAACTCGATTATACAAATTTTGATTTATGAAAATGCCCTACAATTATTTCATTTGGGGACAATGATAACCAAAGGGGATCCAAAATGGAGGACCTAAAATAATTCATCTTCTTTAGTAAAATAATGTTGCATTACTGTTTCCATATGTCTCATTTCTTAAATAGCAAAATTTTCTGTTTAGTAAATACAAACAAAGTGGGAACATTGGAAACAAGGTATATACTTCTGACGATAAACTTGGCTTAAGCTTTTTTAGATACTGGATTTACTCTAAAAGCACAATTAGTCTACTTTTAGAAAGTAATTTTCAACATATTTCAGAAACCATTAACAATGCTAATATCCCTTGTCCCAGTAATTCCACTTCTGGGAATTCTAAACACAGAAAATACTTTATACAGTGAAATGTTCATCACAGCATTATCTATAAGAGCAAAACTTTAGAAATATCTTAAGTATCTCTCTAATGGAATATAATACAGCTATCAAAAATGATGGTCACAAAAACTATGTAAATAACATGGAAAATGTTTAGGGAACATACAACTGAAAAAAAAGCGGAGAAACAAAATTGTATACACAATATTGTTTCAACTCTGCTGCCTTTTAAAGATAATATAGGTAAAAACTATCAAAAGAAAATTTCCTAAAATGTTAACAACAGTTATGCGTGAGTGATGGAAATATGATTTAAAAAATATAAGGAATATATAAATATCATGCTTGTATATTTACTTTATCTAAATCTTTTTCAGACTACTTCATCCTCTTCGGTAACAAAAAAAATGAATTATTGTACAGATTAAAGATGAACACTTCAGACATTTTAAATACATGCAGCAATTTGCTTACTAGGTAAAATTTTAATACCCCAAATCTATATAAGGCTACTTTCATGATTCTGTAGATTACTATAATAATATACTTATTCAGAGCCCTTCCTCATCTCTCCAATATTCAATTCTAAAGGCTTTTAGTAGTTTTTATTCCTTCTCTGTGTCCTCTCTTTTGTACTCAAAGAGATCTATATTTCCGGGATAGTATGCTGTGTCATGGACCTGTTTTCCAACCCTTTACTATCTTCTGTTCCCAGTCTAGCTTCTGGGAAGCTGTCACACTGGAAATATCCAACACACAAATTTAAATTAGGATGCTAATGGAAGACAAGGCTTAGTGGCTACTCCTCCCATCAGGAATTCATATTGACTAGAAAGTGTTTCAAATGAAAGAAATAACCAACAATGGTAGAATTTTAGACATAGTCTGATGAGGAAGTTATTTTTAGGCTGGGGAATGTCTTTTGCAACTTTAAAGTATACTATATAAGCTCTTGCTTGCATTAACTACTTATAAGGCTGTCCTTGTGTCAAAATAGTTACCAGTCATTAATTCCAAGTGGTATGGCAGTTTACAAGTTAAAATGCTGGGAAACACCCATAACCGACAATGCCACTTGACTCTTCAATTGCTACTCATTTGTGCCCATGCCCTGTGGAAGACAGCCTGGGACACAGTCTACAGCTGTCACTCTCCTTTTAATTGGAAGAAAAGTTAAAAGAAGATTATTTAATATTTTAAGTGTGAGTGACACAGCAGAAGACTGCTCAGAGGAACTTAGATAAACTTCTAGCTCTTTGGATTTTTCCCTTATAAATATAAAAAAATCATAACCCAAAGTTAAAAAAAAAAAGCACTAAAAAGGCACATGAAATTGCATAAATGCAATTAACCGAAAACGTCAAAATGACAAGCTATGTAGACTTATCTTTGAGCCAATATCTACCCAAGATTAGGTAATAGCTCTGGTGCTAAATATACCTGTTGAAATCTACTTTTCAGCAGGGTAACGTGGCTATGTTACTCCTTTGGTACACATAGGCAATAACATTTCTTGTAATATTCCAATACTCAGTGTAAACTGACTCTGGGATGTCACTAGTCACTCGAATCTTTTGTCCCGCTCTGTGACAGGAAAAAATACTCACCTTCTGGTGAATTACTGAAGAATAAACAATTCTTATTTTTATGGTATTTTGAAGTATTACAATTTATGCATTAGGATTCTTTTTATATTCTTGGACAAGACACAGAAATCATTTCCTTTTACTCTATGGGTCTGTCTTGGGTCTCTTTATTTTAAGAAGGCTACAGCCAAACCTTCCCTCTAAGTTTTAAAGTTGCAAGTAATCATGTCACAAAAGCAGATACTCAAAATATATGAGCATTTAAATGTATAGTCTAAAGCTCTAACCTAAAACAAAAAAGCTCAGTCAATCTGATATATATTAAAGTACCTAACTTTACTGCGCTGTGCTGAAACCATGGTAGGCTGTGGACAGGACAGGCCCAGAGACGAACTTCATCCTGCTCCATTAATTTGTCTAAAGCCAGCCTGACTGCTACCCCAGTTTCAATGGGCCTCCATGCATTTTGGTTCCCTAAGGATCATTAAACATCTCTCGCCTTCTTTGGACATATTTTCTCAGTTTTTCAAGACTATACTTTTTGTTACATTTTCTAATTTTTCAGTTGTTTCTATTTGACTGTCATAAAATCGAGAAAATGTGTCAGTGGTTTGAGTAGTTTGCTCTTAAGGATACTCCTTTCCTTGTCCTCACTGTAGTTCTTTCTCACCAGTGCTCTGCTAGTGACCCTGGAAGATGTTATCTACAAAATGATGTCCAACAAGTTCCGAGTACTTTGGATCTGTGAGAGGCATTTAATCTCCATGCTATATTTATAATATAATGAGAAGTTGATGAGGGGTATCTTTTCCCCATATCATGAACAGGTTTAAGTACTTTTTGAGGGAGTATGATATGAATTTTACTTTTAACATTTCCTGATTATGCTAGAACAATTCACAAGACATTTATTTGTTAAATTATTTACTACATATTGATTATAGTCAGCATAAATGTTTTCATAGCTGGCTTACCCTTGCGATGCTTATCATCTGTTGCTCTGAGTCTCTCTGAATAATGATTTTTTTTGCAGCTATAGAAATAACGAATGGGTACTGACAGAAGGAAAACCTGCTCAACAAGTGAAAACAGAAAAAGCAAAATGGTGTATTTTTAGCAAAATTATACTAAGGGAATCTAAGGTACCCCTTCTAACAATATTAAACATTACTTTTGTATTGTGTTTTACCATTCACAGAATGATTTTATGTGCATCACTTCTTTGAATCCCCACAGCCCTGTGAAGTATGCTTCATTATTAGATGTGCAGTGCCTTTATTCTCTAGAGGAAGCTACACCTAATGTTCTGAAATATCTGCTAACTGCTTATATTGTTTGCACAAATAATTTCAGTTTAGATAGTCACTTGTATATCATTACCTGGGAAAAATATGGGCAACAGCAGAACCAGGAGGCAGAAGTGTTGATGAAGGATTTAGGACAGAAAATTCATGTGCAGAAATTAATATAGGAATCCATTACTATATGGGTATTTCTGATGCGTGAGCTTCAGAAATGAGGAAATCTAGCAATAACTATGGTAGGAAAAGTAGTAAATTTAAGAGCAATAAAATAAAAGTTAGAAAAAGGTGTGTTGCTTTAGCACTGTATTTAATGATGTAGTAAGATGAAATGGTACGTATTTGTAAAAATACAACATATGATCAAAAGTTATGAAAATAACTTCTTTCCTGGGTCAGAGCTCATTCTGTTATATAAAAGAGCCACAAACCACACAGAGAAATGCACTTAGAGAGAACTAGTATCGTAGCAATGACACTTCAGGAGTTAGACTCCCACCAGAAGTGGCTATAATGCATCCATCAGTTACAGTTGGAATGCACTGAGGACAGTCAAGCAGTGCATCTGTGACCACTGTGCAATACAGGGATTACGAGGAAAAAGGAAATAGCCCTAGTGTGAACTGAAAATGAAATGGCTTTCCCCTTGGGACATAACTGTTAAAAAGCAGTAAGAAAACTGTTCAGTATTAATGTGTAATAATTTTGAATCACTAAGTGCTAACTAGAAATCTGGAAATAAAACGAAGTGCAATGAACTTAGTAGGATAATGTTGGTCTTGTGTACTTTAAAACAGTGTGTCTCAGCCTTTCCCTAGTCACGGCACGGAGACAAACCATACTATGTGTATGACACACTGAGATAAACAGATGAGGCTGCCCATGGCCAGACATGTGACTTGCCCTGAGGCTCTGGTCCCCCTCTAGGTCCTGGGTGGCTTCCCAAGGGCTGAAGGGATCATAGAATCCAACCTCTGTTAACTCATTTTTGGTACAACAATGCTATGGCACAGTGTTTAGAGGAGCTCTGCATTAAAAGATGTCACTGAAATATGCACAATAACTCTCGCAACTGCATTGTGGTTTTGTCTGCAACATTACAATTACATTAAAGTGTAAAATAAACTCTGTCAAGAAAATATCCATCAGACTGACCAAGGTCCCCACAAACGGAATTCTTAGTTCAGGTGTGGACTGAGATACGTCCAGAAAGCTAGTCTATGTTTTAGGCCAATGCTGGTAGAAAGGGTCCCTGGGAGCTTGAACCAATTTCTGAAGTAACCTGGGGTTTTAGATTACTTATATCCACATCCTATTTCTTAGTCAGTCTCCTTTAGAATAATGCATTCTGCAGGATATCTCGTGCTCTGGGAATAAATTAAGTCTGGGATAGTCTTGCTGGCTTAATCCAAAATGTAAGTGTGGATATAAGGTGCAGGGTAATAAAGAATTCGGCCAAGTGTTTCCAAAGTCTATTATACTACTGTAATAAATCATTTCTAGTAAAGCCATTTCTCTGTAACATCCATTCTTTTAATACTGTGTATAAAGGACAATCACTTCATCCACAGAAAAAGGGAGAGAAAGAGTGAATGTATGTGTGTATGTGCACACATGTGTGATCACTGTGTTAGATCAGGCACCGGCACACTATGGCCCATGGGACAAATACAGCCTACAACCTAGGCTTGTGAATAAAGCTTTTGGGACACAGACATACCCCTTCAATTACATATTTTCTAAGGCTGTTTTTCGTGCTATAATGGTAGACCAGAGACTGTATAGCCCAAAGGGCCAGAAACATTTATAATCCTGTACTTTGCAGAAAAAGTTTGTTGACCTCTGTGCTAGGTGATGGCACATAGAATAAGAAGATATAAGAAACTGCATACTAAGATAGAACTTTTCCCTTCTTAAAAAGATGCTACTAATCAAGCCAAAACCATATTAACATAACTATAAATTCAAAATGTAATAGAAAAAGAAAATGCTTTAAAAAATATAATGATATTTCAAGGCTGGATATCTAAACTACATTTATAAGTTTATATGCAAAGGTATGTGTATATTTAAATTTATTTACACAAACTTAAAAGCCAGTCATTATTTTGAATAGCATTTTATTTAGGTGAGTAATCAGATGAGCTTTTGATCATACCTGTGAGAATTTCCAAAGCTCTGCCAGGTGTGGTATTCTTCCATGAGATCAATATGATCCAGTGTAGAATTATAAAAATCAGTATAAGGAATAAGGGGAGGATGAACCAAATTGTTTGCAGTATCTGTAAAGATAAATTCTAACATAATGATCTTTCCTAACATGTACATGATTCATTCTAATAATAAGAAGAACATCTTAATGCCCACCAGAAAGCTTTATCTAGAAATTCCTGTTTTAAGCAATTGTAGTGCCAAACGAAAAGGTAGTTTTAAAATTGTGGTCAAAATGCAGCCAATAATTTCTTGTTTTAAAAAAAAAAAAAAACTTGAATCGTGGGGATTGTAATAGTATAGTAAAGGGAGTATGCAGATGGCCACCTAGGCATCCTATTTCCCCGTCAGGGTGTCCTCGGGTCCCTCCGCAGGAATGAATGGAAGTTCTTGTATTCTTAGGAATCACTACTTAGCAGGTCGTATGCAGCTGAGAGCCATAAAACAGGATACTGCCCAATAAAATGCATAAAGCTTTTTCATGCTTATACATTAATTGTGAAATCCATTAGCAAAACAGAAAATAAATCACTACAACTCTTCTCCTCAAAGGAATGGTTTAAGATGTAAGAATGCCTCTATAGTATTTTGAGATCCTTATGGAAATGTCCTTATATTTAACAAAAGAAAAGTAAAGATGATTGAATAATAAAACCTACTAAGTAAAGCCAACACTTTAGATGCTGATGGGATCCACCAGGAACACTTTGATATAGGTGGAAATTCTTCAGGCTTTGCAGGAAACAGGCGTAAAGAAATAAACTGCAGCAATCTCTCTACCAATTGTTTGAACCTCTTCTGGGATAATCTGGTAAAGATTTTGAAATAATTCCAATCAAAATTCACATTTTCTACTTTGGCAATATATTTGTTAGAGATCAAAGTTCATCCTTTATACATAAAATTTTAGACTATTCCCCCAAATTCTACTTCTTAAATTGCCAAAAATTTGAAAAGATGCAAAATCTTACCTCGAATATCATTTCTTAAATAAGAAATAAACACCAAAATTACTATAAAGCTAGCATTAAACATTTCACTTTTAAGGCTTTTAGTATTCAGTCAATCCTCATTCGCAGACTTTGTATTTGCAAATTCACCCATTCCCTACAATTTAATTCTAATCCCCAAATCAGTAATTGTGGCGCTTTCGTGGTCATATCATGGCTGTGCAGAGTGGCAAAAAATGGGAGTTGCTTATGCTGAGGCTGAACAAGGCCACGCTCTGCCTTCTTGTTTTAGCTCTCATACTGCAAACAAGTGTCCTTTATGCAGTCTACTTAGGGTCATGTTTTTCAAATTCTTGTGCTTTTTGTTGGCGATTCTGCTGTTTTAAAACGGCCCTTAACTATAGTGCTAAAGTTCTGTCTAGTGTTCCTAAGTAAAGAAGGATGTGATGTGCCTTATGGAGAAGGTACTTATGTCAGATAAAATTTGCTCAGACATGAGTTATGGTGCTGTTGGCCGTGAGTTCAATGTTAATAAAACAAAAATTTATATCAAATAGGTGTCTTTAAATAGAAATACAGATAAAGCAAGGTTATGTACTGATTGGTTGATAAAAATGTTGTGACCAAAGGCTCGCAGGAAGCTAACCCTGTATTTCACTGTTCACCAATTCAGTGTTCCCAGTAGCTTTATAGAACATAACTATTGTTAATAATAAGAATTGACCGTATTTAAAATTAATTTTGGGAATATTTAGCTTCTTTAACTTTTACTAGTCATGGGGAAATGTAATTGTTAATGTAAGTATTGTTCTGTGGAAAAAAAGTACTGTACTTTTATAAATTGATATTGATGGCTAGTATGTTTTACAATGATGTTTTAGGTAAGGAAAAGGCATTGTGTAAATAATGGTAAAATTTATTGATAGGAAATAAAAAGACACAAATTAAAATAGTAATGTATGAGCAAATCCAGTCACCATCTTTGAGATATATGAAAAATCAATGATAGGAATGTGCTGTATAAAATGCAAAAGCAGTGGACAGAAATCTCAACAACAGCTGGCACAAGCAAAACGATTACTTACATACAAAACAGATCTTTAATGTATCCTCTATGTAGTACTAAAGAATATGCTTATAATTGGCTTCTGAAGCACTGTGAATTATAAGTATCATTTCTCAAGACCTGAAAACATTTAATATATTTTCTTATAAAGTTACTAACAAACTTAAAACTTTAAGATTATAAAAGTTCTTAATATCATAGAATAATTTACTTTTTAAACCAGTGAACTAGGAAATGATGGTCAGCTTCCACTAAGGTAGCTATCTGTCGTAGCAAGTGAGCATAGATGACATATGTAGATGTGTTATTAAATTGAGGATTCTGAAAAAGATATTAAAGATAATTGCGTTAAAATTTTGTTAACATGTAAAAGGAAAGACACTATGCTTAATGAGCTAAGTGGCGAATTCAGAAAACTAAATTTGAGATTATGAAATACTAGGTGAAATCCTTGCAAACAAGAATCTATTTGTTTAATTATTTAATTAACAGAGACTTGGATTTCCACTATGGTCCAGTGGCTTTGGAATTAAGACAGATCTGGGTCTGAGGGCTAATTCTACCACTTACTACTATATGCCCTTAGGAATGTTCCTTAAACTTTGATTCTCAACTTCCTCATCTGAAAAATGAGAATGATAGTATCTATCCTGGAGGTTGTTTTGAGTATTAAAAAAAACTGTATGTAAAGCACATAGCTCACTGCCTGGTATAAATGGTGGCAATCACTTCTATCCAACTAAACAAAAACCTGGCTCTTCCTTGATTAAAAAAAAAGGGGGAGAGAGAATGCTAGAAAAATAAAAGCTGGTAATGAAACTTTTGCCATTGTGAAATGAGTTATTTGCATATTTCACAAAGAACAAGGGGAGAACCACATAATAGCTTCAGAGAACTTTTAAGCGTTAGAGTAGAGCTTGTAGACCAAGCAAAACCTCTAGTTATATTTCCAAAATCTAAAACTCCATCACAGTGTACATTTCAGAGCTCCATGGGAAAAATGAGTATTAGTGAACAATAAACCAAAATTGTAAAAAATAAAAGAGCACCATGTGTTTTTCAAAATTGACTTATGGTCAGGATGGTTCAAAATGAGGGAGTGACCCTAGATGATAAACTCATCAAGTGATAGCTCATAAGAACAAGACGTCATGAGCAGAGCTTACTGTTGACCAATACACTCACTTAAAAATTTGAGCCTCATGTTGTCACTTTCTAGCTTTTACTATTCTCCAGGTATATTTCCTCTTTTTTCTAGTTTTGTCTTTCTCCTCTTACCTCTTTACTTCCCTTCCTCTCCTTACATCCCTCAACTACCTCTTATCTATTTCCCCTTTTTTTGTTTCCTCTCTCCTCCTTCTTCTACCCCTATCTTCCATATTTCCTTTTATTGGACATGATATTGAACTAAATATCCTATCTTATTTAATATAATTTTTTCTTATCTTTAAATGAGATAATAATTTATATGAACACCTTTGGTCAATTGTAAAGAATAATGCAAACATAGTATGCTAGCTATGGGAATAACGCACTTCTCAAAAAATTATAAAAACTAAAATTGCTTTTCATTTGTTTGGACCTTATTTTTTTTTTTGTATCAGTGAATCTGTATTTCTCAAGAGGAAAAAGTTCATCATATTTGCTTTAGCAAATATAAACAACCACTTTGACTTTTCCATTAGAATTCTAGTTTAAACATTTATTGAAAATACACAGAAAAGTTAGAAACCCACTAATTGGGAAATAAAAGAAAGTTTTGGAGTCCCTTAAAAAACTAGTTACAAGAAAGGAAGTTGACTGGAGGAGGAAAAGTGCTTCCTTTCTGTTTGTTCCAGAATCCCACAGCAGGAAGGCAAGTTAAAATATTAACCTTGGAGATAATTTAGCCTTCCACTGTTTATTTGTTATAGTTTTAATTCTCTGGTTACAAGTAATTATAATCTAAAAAAGTATCAAAGATGTTGCTCAAAATAATACTTAGTATTTGATATCATTTCACTTACACATGCATAGATTGAGATATGAATTACGCACTTCAACTATGTTTTTGCTTTCTTACCTGTAAAAGTATAAAATATGCTCTAAGATCATCTTTTGTTCGTGGACTGAAACAGAAATAATTGTAATTGATTACAGATGAATGTTTAATCTTATAGTATCTAATAAAAAATTATCAATGTTTCTGTGAGAATTGACTTGATAAAAGCCAAAAACTAGACTTAAACCTGAAAACATAAATCATTGCCCAAAGTATACTAGATGATCTTTACAAGATATAAAGCCACATCATCTGAAATATAAATATATAACATATGTATTACATTTTGAAATTGATATATATACACATGTATATATATAATTTTTAAATTAGCAGTAATATTTCTCTGTGGAAGAATTATCTTGACTGAATAATGATTTAAATTATTTAGGTTTAAATAAAATCTAAACTATTTCTTTCTATACTATTCTACATAATTGTCAGATTATTTTCTCAATAGGACTACTGTTTTGTTTTAGAAATTATATTTGAAAACATTTTAAAAAGTTCAAAGCAATTCATAAATATTAAAATTCCTGGTGATAGGAGGGTCCGTTTTTTGTTTTCCCATTTTATAGCTGTACCATGAAAACTTCCATTTTCCTGTTCTATGCACTAGTATTTTAGTACAGTATACAGTTCTGGGTACAGAAATTGTAGTTAAGATCACAGGCTCTTTTTTTTTTGCGGTACGCAGGCCTCTCACTGCTGTGGCCTCTTCCGTTGCGAAGCACAGGCTCCGGACGTGCAGGCTCAGCAGCCATGGCTCACGGGCCCAGCCGCTCCGCGGCATGTGGGATCTTCCCGGACCAGGGCATCGGCAGGCGGACTCTCAACCACTGCACCACCAGGGAAGCCCCACAGGCTCTTTTGCCAGACAGCCTGAGTTCTAATTCTGACTCAGGCACTTACTGTGTTAACTTGGGCAATTTACTTCTCTGTAAATTAGTTTCCTCAAGTGTGAAATGAAACTAATCATATTACCTATTTCACAGGATTGTAGTGAAGATTCAATGAGAAATACATGCAAAATCGTTTGAAAGGTGCCTAGCCCATAGTAAATAGTCAATAAACTGTAGATCTTGTTGTCGTTATTATAAATCCAAAATAAAACAAGATTTTGGGGGTAAAGACCACATGATCCTTTGATAAGTAAGTTACATCAAATTATTTTAATCTGTCTCCGGCACACATTTGAGGAGCAGGGGTTAGAAAGCTGTGTGAGCATGCTTGGAGGGGACTGAGGTCCCAGCAGTTTCGGACCACTGGACTTCCCCACTCTCCTAAGTGTTCATTTTACATTCCAAATTTTCCCCTTCATTTTCAATGAAGCATTATGTATTCAACCAGAAACATAAAATTCAAGGAAAATGCAAAAGTATTACTAGAATGATAAACTAGGAAAATACTGTTAAGTTAAAAATCACATGAAAAATACAGTATGATTTCAATTGTTTTAAAAAGATGACTAGAAAAAAACTGCAAAATGTTACATTTTTACTTTTTTATACTACCTTGACTTTTCTCAATTTTCTATAAAAACCACAATTTTCTCTGAAAATTGGAACAATGTTATTAAAATATATAGGGTACATTTAACATTATAGTTAAGAACTCTAGTTTGGTATTTTCAAATTGGGCTTAATATAGACATTTAAATGATAATTTAATGGTATTATTTGGCTTTAATAGAAGCTATCATTTAAATTATAATGTTAAATAACACCAATTTAAATCATATGTACTTTTAAAAGTATATTTTTGTGTTCTGCATATTCACAGTTCAAAACATTATCAATTACACTGTCCATCATTCCTTACATAACAATTCAATATTTAGTTCCAGGAAAAAATATTTCAGTAGCTAAATTTACTTCTCTTATATTAGAAATAAGAAAAATTTTGCTCTGCTACCAGAAAGCCCAAGGCTAAATTTAACGCCCATATTATTTCATTCTAGGTGACTGATTTAAATACCCATCCTATTTTTGTAAAGCACATATATCTGTACATGACAGATCTTATATACAATTTTAAAGAATTCACAGATCCTCTGAAGCTCACCTGTGGACCGTCCTGAGAAGTCATAAGTCTCAAGTTAAAAAGCTTTGTTATAAATGGTTTATAATTTCATTCTGATCTATGTTTTTATTGTAGCAACTAAAATCTTTTCTGAGAGTAAAACACATACGTATATTTTAAAGATGGATGAGCTGTGTATATTAACCATCTATACTGATTAGCCAAATATTAGTTTCAGTTACCCTTTCCATTCTCGTAACAGGCTGTTAATGATTCCCTTTAATACTGTCTTCTGAATGTCTTGAGGCTGTAGGCAAAAGAAAATCATGAAATAATTAGGATTAGCTATTTAGGTGATTTTTATATGTTAATTATATTTACAGATCTGTTTCCATAGTTAAAATCAGACTTGATGACCAAGGACTACCACTTAACGGTAGTCTCAATTTCACATCTGAGAGGTTATAATGAGAATGCTCCCTGGGATGTGCACTGTACAACCTGCACAAACGTACATGGTGGCTGTTTGATGACTACCATCAGTTTTATATAACACTGAAAACAGAAAAAGAAAAACAATTTCACTTCCTCTGGATTGACAGGATAAAATCATGAACATAAGTCTAAGAATAGCATGTTTAACAATATAAAATGACTGCATACGTTTTGGACATATTTAGTCCTACCAATACCACGTTATAATTAGCAGTTAAGCCCACAATTCATTATTAAGTACAACCAAATTATGTTCAATAAAAAAATAACAAGATAAAGATTTTTTGTTATAGGATCCAAAAAAGGTACTAAATAACATTTTTTATAGTTTAATAATTCAGATACTAAAAAAACTTAATTACTACCAAACATGTCCCATAAGAATGAATGAAAACACATCTAGATGGTGCTTTTAGCTTATAAGAAGTAATGACTAAAACCTTCATTAACTAGAAGCTCCCAACCGTCATTAAAATTTGTCTGTTATATTGTTATATGAAAGGGGCGAACGTCAAGAAAACAAGCATATATCATGGATTTATTTATTTTTTTTTATTTTTTATTTTTTTTGCGGTACGCGGGCCTCTCACTGTTGTGGCCTCTCCCGTTGCGGAGCACAGGCTCCGGACGCGCAGGCTCAGCGGCCATGGCCCACGGGCCCAGCCGCTCCGCGGCATGTGAGATCCTCCCGGACCGGGGCACGAACCCGTGTCCCCTGCATCGGCAGGCGGACTCTCAACCACTGCGCCACCAGGGAAGCCCCATGGATTTATTTTAAAAAAAAACACACAATCATCACTTCTAAGACATGTCTGTCAGCACTCATTCAGCCTAGCACCTTTCTTAATTAGCACCTAACTTATTTAATACATCATTCCTTTCTCCTCCTCTGCTTGCAGTGACCCTTCACACCCAGGAGGCAAACAGCACCCCAGAGCAATGGAAGGCTGCAGGAGAAAAATCACACAAATGTGCTGACTAGACACACTGAGTTTATGTCACAAATCTCAAAAGGACACTCAACACCACTGACAGTCCTTCAACATCTCCCTAGTTCATCTGCTTCCCTGCTCCCCAAGACAACTATTTCAAACCTTTTTCTCATTCCTCAAACCTTCAACACCTCCTTCCCATCAACACTCTCAGCTCTGATCTTGCCACACACTTTAGAGAGAAAACAGATGCACCCAAATGAGAACAGATTCATCTTGCCACTATTATTCTAATCATTTACCTGCACTACAACTGACCAGGCCCAACCCCCTCACTTGAGCCCTATGCTCCATCCTCTCTCACCTTGTCAAGGACCTGGTTATTCAGTTTTCTTCTATCTCCCCCATATCATCCATTTCTTCCACACTACTAGGTCGTTCCTATCAGCACAACACGACGTCCTAATACCATCTGCACGGATGTGTCTCTGCATTTTCACTCTTCTCCACCCTGATCTATGCCCCAGGAGGCTGACTACCAAGGACTACATCAACCAGACTCCTTTGCCTTTTTTTGCCTGCTGGTTGGATTCGGCCATAAGGAACACTGACAGAAGAGGGAAGAGAGGAAAGCTGGGGTATTTATTCCCTCAACGCCCTCTCTGCAAGGTCACCATGGGCTGGCTATGCCCCTCCTCTCCTGTAAGGCAGCCCTCTCCCCGACAGCTCATCTCCAGATTCACTCTACTGTACTACTCCTGAGGGCCTCCCTTGTTCTGCTAACACTTTTGTAAACAGTCCTCTCCAGGTTACCAGTTAGAGTGTGTCATCTGTTTCCTGTCAGGACCCTGGCTAATATATTGCTCATGCTAAAAACCTTTCATTTGGACCCATGTACTCTTTCAGCTGACCCTTCATTTCTCTGCTTCCCTTCACAGCAAAACTCTCCAAGAGCTGTCTGTATTCACCATCTCTACTCCCTCTCCGCTCATGGTCCCTTCAACCCATTCCAAGTAGGCTTTGTTTCCACAACCTCACGGAAACGGCTCTTATTAAAGTCAGTCATCAATTATTCACCTTATCAAAGACAGTGCTCAACTCTCTGTCCAAATCTTACTAAATCTCTCAGCAGCATTTGACAGGATTAATTATTACCTCTTTGAAACACCTTTTTTCTCTCTGCTGATGGCTGAGCCCTATCCATCTAATTCAATGGCAATACCATCCACTCAGTTTCCTTCTTCCCTCAAGTCCCACATCCAATCTACAGAAGTATGTTTAGCTCTGTTCCATAATATACTCAGAGTCTGAATATGTCTCACTAGTTCCACTGCCAAAACCCTAGTCCAAACACTGACCCTCGTTTAGGTTTCAGCAACGCCTTCCTAACTCCTTTCTCTTGCCTCACTATAGACCATCCTCCACATAACATCCAGAGAGCTCTTTCTAAACTATAAATCATGTCCGTCATCCCTTTGTTCCCAGCTTAAAATCTTTCAATGACTTTCAATTATAATTACAATGAAATTCAAACTCACATGGCCATAGAGAGCCCCCAGATCAGAAGAATCAACATATCCTGGAACTTGTTAGAAACACAAATCTTTCAATGCCTTTCAATTATAATTACAATGAAATTCAAACTTACATGGCCACAGAGAGCCCCCCGGATCAGGAGGATCAACATACCCTGGAGTTTGTTAGAAACACAAATTTGGGGGCTCTATGCTAGACCTACTGAATACTGAGAAGCCTTTTCTATGATTCTGATACATGCTAAAATTTGAGAACCACTGATCTACAGATTCAACGTAATTCCAATACAACCAAATAATTTACTTCCTCTTGCTGAGTCAGTAAAGCATGATTTTTATCTTAGCAAGCCTTTCTAAATAAGGACTGAACGTAAAAGTATTTTCTACTGAATTTTCATTTAATTAGAAAAATATAAGAATAAAATAATCTAACTCTCTGAGAATTTCAACTAAATTTACCAAAAATTATATCAGAGTTTCTCATGCAATTATGTTACAAGGTGAATTTTACAATATTTATCTGGCTGTTTTTAAAATACAGAAGAGTCAAACAATTATGCTATTTGCATGTGTTCATAAATAATACTTACAGTATTAAGTAAGGCATCATATACAGCATTCACAAATTTAGCATTAATCCCAGAGTCTTCGATAGTATTAAATGAGGCAGAGGCATCTTTCTGCAAATTAAATTAAAGAACCAAGTGTATATAACATTTTAAGAACTAATCTAAGTAATATCTGAACCATAACTATTCCTACATAATTTCTAATATTCCTAGTATGATGATAAAAAAGGACTGTCAGGGCAAGATTGCTAAAAATAAATATATAAGGGTTATTTCAATAACTTTCTTTTTTAAAACTGAAAGAATGGAGTCAAACATTAACATTAGTACAAATAAAAACAATCTTTAAGATATCACTTAAGTAATACTTATTTGTGATACATACAATTTCAGAATTAATACCTATTTATGTTTGCTTAAACAGCTGCTTAAGCCAATACTGGGTAGAAAAAGAAGTTAATTTATAGTATCTTTTTTTGGAAAATTTAAACTAAAAGTGAAAAATGTGCTTTATGTATTATTACCTTAAATGCAGCATTTAGTTCTGGGAAAGAATCAAACATTGTGAGATAAAAATCATGTACTGTTTTCCAATCTCCTGATGACTTAGCTTTTTCTACATCTTCCCTAAAATAAAAACATTTATTAGCCGTAACAGATAAAAAAGTCATTCAGATAAAATAGCATTAATTCTTTATAGATAAATGTCACCCAACATGCAACTTGAAATAATTAAGCTGAATACAGAAATATGTTCCAGTTAATGTAAAGGTAGCTTATGAATTTATAATTCTTAATTGGATTAAGATATTACTCCAGCTTCAACTTCCCCATTTGCTTTTTAAAAAGTTAATTTTTGACATGTTCCTTACAATTATCACTCTTCTGTTCCTTCACTTCATAGCCAAATTTCTTGACAGATTTTGTTTACATTCTGTCCCTACTTTCTCATTCCCACTTAGTCCTTCAAGTGTCCATTTGGGTTTTTTTTAGTAGTTTTTACTACTAACATGGTTTTTATGATTCATATGTCACATAGTAGATGAAATCTCATTTTTTAAAAAGGACACGTTCTATTATTTTATTACCACCTTTACCTCCTCTTGACTGTTTTTCTTTTTTTTTATTAATTAATTAATTTATTTTTGGCTGTGTTGGGTCTTTGTTGATGCACATGGGCTTTCTCTAGCTGCGGGGAGCAGGGGCTACTCTTCGTTGTGGTGTGCGGGCTTCTCACTGTGGTGGCTTCTCTTGTTGCGGACCACGGGCTCTAGGAGCATGGGGTTCAGTAGTTGTGGCATGTGGGCTCAGTAGCTGTGGCTCACGGGCTCTAAAGCGCAGGCTCAGTAGCTGTGGCACACGGGCTTAGTTGCTCCGCGGCATGTGGGATCTTCCTGGACCAGGGCTCAAACCCATGTCCCCTGCATTGGCAGGCAGATTCTTAACCACTGTGCTACAAGGCAAGTCTCCCTTGCCTGTTTTGACTCATTTTCTCTTATTTAGTGTCTTTTGCTGCAACATTATCTATCCCTTACTGGTTAATTATATGTTTGTTTTCACCTTCAACTTGAGACATCTAGTCTTTTGCGTCTTCACTCTTAGCTAATACCTTATAATGAGCCACAAGTTCAATTAATTTCTCACACAAAAATATTAAATTATGTAAAGTGCTGACATGCAGATGACTATGTGTCTACATGTAACAGTGAGCCGAAACTTACAGAAAGTCTTTCATAGTTTTCGGCTGAACGGGAAGGATGGGTTCTGGAAGAACTGGGGTCTTCATTTCAGATGATAAAGCATCTATAGAGATGCGCTGTTTCTGTCTAACATCAAGGCAAATTGGTGGTAGGTCTCTCACTGTGAGGGATAAAATAGCTTTCAATGTAATTAATCATAAAATCTTTCCAAATTATAAAATGCCAGGCTAACTTAACATGAACGGAAAACAACGGATTATTTTGTATTGCATTCCCTTGGGATCATATAACAGAAAAACCCAGCACACTGAAGGGCACTTACTGGAGGGTCTGTTGCCACCTACCCAACTTCACCCATAGCAGATAAATTAGGCTGTATCTGACATTAAAAGTTATCTATAGATACAATACAGAGTTTTTCTTTCATCGCCTCCCTTCCCATAAATTTTCTTTCAGGGATTATTTCAGTGAGGCTAGATGTTTTTAGTGTTTATTAGCTTTTGAATACACTTGCCCCTTGAATGATGTGGAGTTTGGGCACCGATCCCCCACATAACTTTACAGTTGGCCCTCCACATCTGTGGTTCAGCATCTGCAGATTCAACCAAACACAGATTCTGTAGTACTATACTAGGTATTTATTGAAATTTATTGAAAAAATCAGCACATTAAGTGGATCCACCCAATTCAAAGCCATGTTGTTCAAGGGTCAATTGTGTATGTAAATCATTTATTTACATCCTCTGCAATTCTTTATTGGAGTTTTAGCATTTTTTCATCAATTTGCAGGAACATTTTATGTATTTTTCTTTTTTTCCAAATATCCGCCAGTTCATCGTTTGCCTTTTTGTTGCATTTTATAACCTTATAATTGTAAAATAAAACAAACACAGAAAAATCTCACGAAACAAATGTATGGCTTAATGAATTACTATAAGGCAAATAACTCTGAAACCACTAACCAGTCAAGGAATAGTGCTACCAACCCCTTCTTGTTTTGCCTATTCTAATTTTAATTTCTCTCAGTTTCTTTTTATCTCTTTCCTCATTTCTTTTTAAAATTTTAAATACTTCCTTCTTCTCATCTTCTAGTTCTCTTAAGGCATTATCTGTTACATTTGTTTGCTTTTGTGTTCCTTCTAGTTTATTTCTAAAATTAAAAAAAAATCTAATTATTTCCTTTATTGTCACCTCACTTTTCGCAATTCTGATTTATGGCATTCTTTCAAGTGTCATATAATTTTCTTAATGAACTTTAGCTCATTTTGAAATAGTATTTTATCTATTTTTGTGGGCATGTGTTTCTGATGTGCTCCCATTGTTCAAGTGGCTGTTATTCTGTTTCTTATTCTTTTTTATTACAATACAATTTTGTAATTAAAAATTATAGAATTTGACCTTGTTTCTTTTCTGTAGCCAATTTTATTTGAAATTAAGCTTTCCAAACTTTCAGGAGGTGTAGCTCCCCCTTCTTTTGTTTTTATGTAGAACTCAAATACATGGTAGCTTCTTTCTGGGATTTCCAGGCCCTGTTTCCGTCCTCCACTTTTGTTCAGGTGATCTCTCTCTTTAAACTTTATTGTCCCAATGCTGCTCAAATTTGATTCTAATCTCAGAATGCGGCCCCTGCCCCCCTTCCTGGAAGGGACCCCTAGTTTGGAGAATTCACAGGGGTTACCTGCTCCCTTCAGATCTCAGCATGGGCCCTCTGCATTCACCTGTTCTTGGCAAAACCCCTCCCAGTTTCAGCTTTTGTTCTCAAACTGGGCTCCTGAGCTTTCCAATGAATACCTGTTGCTTATTCATTTTTTTTTCTTTTTTTTTTAACATCTTTATTGGAGTATAATTGCTTTACAATGGTGTGTTAGTTTCTGCTTTATAACAAAGTGAATCAGTTATATATATACATATGTTCCCATATCTCTTCCCTCTTGTGTCTCCCTCCCTCCCACCCGCCCTATCCCACGGCTCTAGGTGGTCACAAAGCACTGAGCTGATCTCCCTATGCTATGCGGCTGCTTCCCACTAGCTATCTATTTTACGTTTGGTAGTATATATATGTCCATGCCACTCTCTCACTTTGTCACAGCTTACCCTTCCCCCTCCCCATATCCTCAAGTCCATTCTCTAGTAGGTCTGTGTCTTTATTCCTGTCTTACCCCTAGGTTCTTCATGACATTTTTTTTTTTCCACAAAGAACCGAGCCGGTTTCCCTGTGCCATGCGGCTGCTTCCCACTGGCTATCTACCTTACGTTTGTTAGTATATATATGTCCATGTCTCTCTCTCGCCCTAACACACCTCACCCTTCCCCCTCCCCATATCCTCAAGTCTGTTCTCCAGTAGGTCTCTGTCTTTATTGCTGTTTTACCCCTAGGTTCTTCATAACATTTTTTTTTTCTTAAATTCCATATATATGTGTTAGCATACGGTATTTGTCCTTCTCTTTCTGACTTACTTCACTCTGTATGACAGACTCTAGATCTATCCACCTCATTACAAATAGCTCAATTTCGTTTCTTTTTATGGCTGAGTAATATTCCATTGTATATATGTGCCACATCTTCTTTATCCAGAGCACAGGCTCCGGACGTGCAGGCTCAGCGGCCATGGCTCACGCGCCCAGCCGCTCCGCGGCCTGTGGGATCTTCCCAGACCGGGGCACGAACCTGTGCCCCCTGCAGCGGCAGGTGGACTCTCAACCACTGTGCCACCAGGGAAGCCCTATTTGTAGTTTTCTAAGGGACCTCCATACTGTTCTCCATAGTGTCTGTATCAATTTACATTCCCACCAGCAGTGCAAGAGTGTTCCCTTTTCTCCACACCCTCTCCAGCATTTATTGTTTCTAGATTTTTTGATGATGGCAATTCTGACCGGTGTGAGATGATATCTCATTGTAGTTTTGATTTGCATTTCTCTAATGATTAATGATGTTGAGCATTCTTTCATGTGTTTCTTGGCAATCTGTATATCTTCTTTGGAGAAATGTCTGTTTAGGTCTTCTGCCCATTTTTGGATTGGGTTGCTTGTTTTTTTGTTATTGAGCTGCATGAGCTGCTTGTAAATTTTGGAGATTAATCCTTTGTCAGTTGCTTCATTTGCAAATATTTTCTCCCATTCTGAGGGTTGTCTTTTGGTCTTATTTATGGTTTCCTTTGCTGTGCAAAAGCTTTTAAGTTTCATTAGGTCCCATTTGTTTATTTTTGTTTTATTTCCATTTTTCTAGGAGGTGGGTCAAAAAGGATCTTGTTGTGATTTATGTCATAGAGTGTTCTGCCTATGTTTTCCTCTAAGAGTTTGATAGTTTCTGGCCTTACATTTAGGTCTTTAATCCATTTTGAGCTTATTTTTGTGTATGGTGTTAGGGAGTGTTTTAATCTCATACTTTTACATGTACCTGTCCGGTTTTCCCAGCACCACTTACTGAAGAGGCGGTCGCAGATGACATGATACTGTACATAGAGAATCCTAAAGATACTACCAGGAAACTACTAGAGCTAATCAATGAATTTGGTAAAGTAGCAGGATACAAAGTTAATGCACAGAAATCTCTGGCATTCCTATACACTAATGATGAAAAATCTGAAAGTGAAATTAAGAAAACACTCCCATTTACCACTGCAACAAAGAGAATAAAATATCTAGGAATAAACCTACCTAAGGAGACAAAAGACCTGTATACAGAAAATTATAAGACACTGATGAAAGAAATTAAAGATGATACAAATAGATGGAGAGATATACCACGTTCTTGGATTGGAAGAATCAACATTGTGAAAATGACTCTACAACCCAAAGCGATCTACAGATTCAACGCAATCCCTATCAAACTACCACTGGCATTTTTCACAGAACTAGAACAAATAATTTCACAATTTGAATGGAAACACAAAAGACCCCGAAGAGCCAAAGCAATCTTGAGAACGAAAAATGGAGCTGGAGGAATCAGGCTTCCTGACTTCAGACTATACTACAAAGCTACAGTAATCAAGACAGTATGGTACTGGCACAAAAACAGAAATATAGATCAATGGAGCAGGATAGAAAGCCCAGAGATAAACCCATGCACACATGGTCACCTTATCTTTGATAAAGGAGGCAAGAATATACAGAGGAGAAAAGACAGCCTCTTCAATAAGTGATGCTGGGAAAACTGGACAGGTACATGTTGCTTATGCTTAAGCTCTCTTGTTCTCAGGTCCATCAAACAGCCCAGATGCTTTCTTCTGCTTACACCATAGAGATCTTCTGATTTTGGTGATCTGTCCTGCTATCTTTTGGGGCTTATGGGAATATCTTATGAGCTAATTCTGTGGTAAATGATGTCCATGATGTTTAATTCTGCTATATAGGTGGTGTGCCTGTTTCATTGGGGATTCAGGGAGATTAAAAAACAATGCTGCTTCTGCTGCTACCTTCACAAAATCTTTTTGCCTTTTAATTTTATTTCTGAAAACAGAAAAGTATTTAAATAATACTTGTATTAGTTAATTTTATCAACCTATTCCTTTAGTATTTTTTATGATTAGTAAGCCAAGCCTTCCCTCTCTAGAGATCAGATAACCATGTATCTATTTTAATTTGTTTTCTTCATTATAGTACTTGTGAAGGATACACTTACCACATTGCCTGGCAAAGAGTAAATGCTCAATAAATGTCCTCTATCATTTCTAGAATCTATTTTATTATATAAGAGGTAATACAATATAAAATATAAGTACTTTTTCCTAAATGGCCCATTTCAGAATATCGTTTATGAAAGTATGTCATTGCACAATGTTTTTTGATACTCTTATCATATATTAAGTTCTTTTATATATGGCGGTCTATTATCGGGCTATGCATATGATTCCACTGACCTGTTTATTATTGTACCAAACAATTTCAATTACTATAGTTTAATAATATCTATCAATACCTGGTAAGGCAGTAGGCTTGGTGAGAGATGGTTGGTGGCTGGGGCCAGAGTGGTGGTAGTAGAACTGATGAGAAATGGTTGGATTTGTGACATATTCTGCATATAGAATTAATAGGATATGCTGTTGGAAGGTATACTGGCAGAAAGGTAGAAATGCCAGAATCTGTTAAAAGAAAGACGAGCCAAAGATGACTGATAATTTAGCCTGACCAACTGGGTGAACGGTGAGACCATTTACTGAA